TTACATATTTATATATTACGTAGATATTCTCTCTCTCTCTCTCTCTCTCTCTCTCTCTCTCTCTCTCTCTCTCTCTCTCTTTGTATTTGTTTATTTATTAATTTTTCTCTCCCCCTTCTTCTTTAACTAATTTATATTGAAATTTAATGTTGTTTTTTACACACACACACACACACACATGTACAAACATTATTTTTAAATAATAAAATGAAAACTTAAAAATGTGTTTCTTATAGCGAAACTATTTTATGATTTCAGGGCTGATAAAGAAAAATCTAAATTCCAGCAAGAAGTGTACGAGCTCCTCGCCCAACTTGACAATGTTACTAAAGAAAAGTTGATGTCAATAAAAACAGTCGAGAAACTCGAAATACATATATCTGAATTGAACGTCAAAATCGAAGAATTAAACCGTACGATTGTCGATATTACTAGTCATAAAACTCGGCTGTCTCAAGAGAATATTGAATTAGTCAAAGAGGTGCAAGATCTCAAGGTAAAGTGATAGACATTTTATTATTTAGAGCGTATAATTTTTAATTTAACATGAATCATTAAATTATTCAAATAAAATTCTAGGTGAGCATCGAGAACGTTACCTATCTAAAGACGCAAATCGCGGGTCAACTAGACGATGCTCGCCGTCGTCTTGAAGATGAAGAACGTCGTCGTGCATTGGTCGAAGCTTCTTTGCACCAGGTATAATATTATCGATTCCCACAATTTCCTTTAAAATGAATAACTTATCTTAAATATATTTATATGATATACACATATATACAAAATATTTTATTTTAACTTTGCTATCGAAATAACTTCAAGTAACTTACATAAGTTTACATTAATGTAATACTCCTTATAAAAATAAAAGAAATTTAAAAAATATCAGTTGTTAACATTCTATTTCTTATTGCGAATATTGAAAAGAATAGTTGAAGTTTTGTATTTAATAATATTATTAAAGAAATTTTTTTCTAGAATTATAATTAGATATAATATTCACTATGGATTAATAATAGGTTGAAGTGGAATTGGAGTCTGTTCGCGTCCAGTTGGAAGAAGAATCTGAAGCACGTTTGGATATCGAACGTCAATTGGTCAAGGCTAATGGAGAAGTCTCAATATGGAGGTCAAAATATGAAACCGAAGCTAACGCTCGTATCGAAGAGGTAATAAACATGCTTATCATAAAAATATAATTTTATCAATTTAATAACTATTTTCATATCATTTTCACATTAATATCAAAATCATAAATAACAAAATACTAATAAATATTTAACATAATTTTACACAGGTAGAAGAACTTCGTCGCAAATATGGTGCTCGCATCCAAGAACAGGAAGAACAAATTGAGACCTTACTTGTAAAGATCAATAATCTCGAGAAGCAGAAATCGCGCTTGCAATCTGAAGTGGAGGTCTTGATTATTGACTTAGAAAAGGTAAGATTTTATCATATTCCAGCTTTGTACTGACAGCTTTTTTGAAAAACAAATATTTCATATTTTTTAAAATAAAAAAATTTCTCATATTCTTATAACTTCTTTCTTTAAGGCCAATGGAACTGCTCGTGAACTTCAAAAACGTGTTGAACATCTTGAGAAGATCAATATAGAATTGAAGACTCGCTTGGACGAATCTCTCGCCATGTACGAGCAAAGTCAGCGCGATCTCCGCAATAAACAACAAGAACTGCAACGTGTAAATGCTGAACTCGACAAGACTCGTGAAATAAAAGATCAATTGGCCCGTGAAAACAAGAAACTTGGAGGTAATTATTATTGTTTTTATTTGTAAAATAATCTGAAAATGCTGTAGCAATGATAAAGTTGAGAATTTTTATAATAGACTATTATATTTTGCAATTTATGTGTTCTTGACAAAATTAAAATTTTTCTCTATATTATTTAATCGGGGTTTCCATTTAAATAAAAAAAATATTTTTTGCAGAGTAGAAAATTATTTACATAATTATTTAGATAATTAAATTGTAAAATTATTAATTTTAATAACATTTACATAGATGACCTTAGCGACGCAAAGAATCAATTGGCTGATATGAATCGCAGACTCCATGAATTGGAACTGGAACTTCGCCGATTGGAGAACGAACGCGAAGAATTAGCTGCTGCCTACAAGGAAGCTGAAGCAGTGAGTAACCATTCATGTTTGTATATGAATACCGTAAATATTATTCTAATTATAATCAAAAAGATAGATAAGACTATCAGCAACAATACGTGTAATCAAAATTTTTTAAATAATTTTAAATTTAAGAAAGTCTTAAAGAGTTTTAGTTTTACATAACAAGATGAAATTAATTTTGTTATTAATTTATTTAAAAATAGAGTTTTTCAAATATTTTAAACTAAAACAGAGTTATTTGCTATAATATAAAAAACAAATTCTTCTATCAATATTTTTTTAAAATATTACATTTAGTAAAATAAATATAAACATTATTAAAATAAATCCAAATTAGACTTTAAAAAACAATTTATTAAACATAAAATTTAAAGTAAGTTCTCGATAATAAATATCATTCTAAGATTAATTAAATCAAATGTAACATACATCAACAAATAAAATATTAAATAAGAATAAATTTGATATAAGGGCCGTAAAATTGAAGAGCAACGTGCTCAAAGATTGTCAGCCGAATTGAGTCAATTGCGCCATGAATTCGAGCGTCGCATTGCTGAAAAGGATGAAGAAATTGAAGCTATTCGGTAAGTTATTAACAATAGCTAAATTTTCGCATTGTTCCTTTTATGAGAAATTAAGTTTTAAAAAAGTGAGAAAAAATTGCTCATGCATAATTGTACATAAACATATATAATGTAATATATACTTATATGTAAATATATACGTATGTATATATGGTGTTTAAACAAATTTTTCTTTCTTTTTTCAAATTTAAATTTTTATAAAAAGAAAGGCAATGCAAAAATTATCCTTAAAATTATTTTTAAGTGCTTTTATGACTACTATTTTTTATACCAAATAGAAATTTTACAAATAGAGAAAAATATGTAAATATGTATAGATATATGTACATACATGAACATTCTGTATATATTTAAATATACATATATTATATATATTTATATATTCGTACATGCTCTCACATAAACAAAAATTATTAGGTGGTATAAATTAACTGACTTTTTTATTTAGCATTAATAAAGCTGCTGCAACATAATGTTATTGTATATAAATTTTTTATTACTATTTCTTACTTCTTTCATATGTGCTATTCTCTATGGAGCATTTTTTAATTTTTAAATTACATACTTTTTAAATAGAAGAGAAACTGTATTCTATTAATCTAAAATAAGATTTACTTTATTCTAATCTGGAAAAAAAATTATTTTTAAAAATATTATGCCAATGCGTAATTGCATTAAATGAAAAAGATACTTTTTGCTTAGATGAGTCGTTGGAACATTTTAAATAAAACATTTTGTGGGGAAAGCTTCAAGCTTTCACGATAAGTAGTTGAAAATTTTTTGGGCATGTAAAAGACCCACAAAATGAAAAAAAAGTTTTTTATATTTTTTTAACTCATAGTTTTTTATATGTCAAAATTATTAAACTCACGGAAACTCAAAAAATATAGTACCTAATCTTTCAAAAGTAGAGACTTTAAGTTTCAAAACTCATTTTTTAATTTAAATTTCGTTTATTTTTAACGAAGATATTGAAAAGGATAAAAATCCTTTTACATATGTATACATATGTACGAAGATTTTTTTCCACTCCAATATATTACTTGGGGTTCCAATTTTGTAATTATACCATATGATATGGTAATATATTTATACAATGTTCAATTTTCTAATTACATTATTCAGTATGTAATCAGTAATGCAAATTGCAAAAATTATTATGTGTTATAATAAAACGTATAGGTAAGTGTTAATCATATTATTAAAAATCATAATATAATCGATTCTAATTTTGATCAGCTATTATAAGTCAAAGTGTTATTATTAATACACATAACAAAATGTTGTTAAATTTATCAATGATCGATTCATATACATTTAATGACATAAGCAATTTCTTTACACGATTTCTCTACTTGCCTATTTATATACGATAGAGAATGAAATATGATATTGTTACATTTATAAGCAGAGTTTATTTTAAAAAAGTAAAATTTGTTATCAGTTTTATTTAATTTATTTTGACTCTTACTTTGCCCTTACACTCTGATTGATTAAAAGTAAAATTGTTTTTTAATAAAAAAAGAATTTTAGTTTACAAAATCGAAGTAAAAATAAACTACAAAAGAAGTCTATTTACTATAAATTATTCTACAAAATAAGTATGTATTTCATATAAGCGTATTAATTATGCTTTGCGATAATGAGATTATATATGGCATTAAAATTTATTATGGTTATTTATTCTGGCCGTTGATTAACGATGAAATAAAATGGATGATCTGATAAAACACATCAAAGATTGATATTAATAAGGACAGATAATGACAATTATATGATGATACTATTCTATTAATAAGTGCAGTAAATACGATCAGTCATGATCTAATTATTATTGAGAGGTGCTGATTGGTTGTCCTCGATGTGGCAATCACAACGAAAACTACAAAAGATACCACCTAACCATCGACCCAATTTTTATCAACGATCTTGTTGTGAGTGTCACCATCATCTGCAGATCTGTTCACAGAAAGCAAAAATGCATACAAAACTCTATCACGTAACAAATTAGATTAAAAATCGGAAGTCTGGCAATAACAAAATGTAATCAAATTATCAAGAAATAAAAGGTTTTAAGAGATGATGTGACCTGAAAAATTCTTTACAATTATATTTTTCTTTATTGCAAATCTTTAAGAATCAAAAAATAAGACAAACTTCATGAACTATTAAAACTTTATCAAAAATGGCAAGTTATATGCCACCAAATTATATGCCGTTGGAATCGAAATGGCGACATTATCCAACGTATATATATTCAAGAAATTATGGATACGGAATGAATTATTACCAACCAATGATTGATTATATAGATTCCAAGCGAATCACTTCAAAATCACCTTTACCACAGCTTGAAAGAAGAATAGAATTACCTGAATTACCCTGGTCTGATGGTAGAGTCTTGTGGGAAGACAAAAAAGTGCAACCCTATTCGAAAGATGACCTTATTAAATATGCAATTGACGCTGAGGACGAAGCCAGAGATCACCTATCTCATTTTAAGGTACGGTAGTAGCGGGAAAGTGCTGATAAGTTTTTGCAAAGAGGAATTTCTGATAAATATGAGGCGATCCGTTTTCCGAGTGCCGCACATCTTGGCGACTGTTCGACCTTTTCGGTTTCTAAATTTGGTGTCGCGGGAGAGGTTGCTTCGTTTCAAGTAGCAACGATCAAAGTCGTGTGCACAGAAGCCGTGCGTAATCCGTGTCATTATTGACGTCGTTGCATTTTTTTGTGACACAACTCATTTGTCGCAGCAGAAATATGCAATAACAACATATTAGTTCTCCTTTTATTTAATATCGTATACGTAACAAATAAAAGTTAATTCCCTGACAAATTTATGATATTTCTTTAATATTTGCAGATTCTTTTTATATATCATAATTTAATAAAAATGACATCAGAAATAATATAAAAAATTTATTTACAAGAAATATATTTTTAAGAAATGCATAAAAATGTAAGAAATTTTATAGTTCAAATAAATTACACTAACTTATTTATTGCAATAGTATAAATAAATTGTTATTTAAAGCAAGATTAATTCTGATATCTGTTATTACTAAATAAAAATTACTTAATAATTATCTAAAAGTTAAATATATAACAATATTTATGAAATAAAGTAGTTTATTTTCGTATTTATATTTTTAAATAAAATCGTGCACACTGTCTTAAAGAATTCTGGTGTAGTTAATATAGTCTACAATATCAATAATACTTTAAATAATATTCATAATATTAAAAAATAATTATCACATTTTCGTCGAACACACTAAATATATCTTTCCTGGGAACCCAAATAGAAAATTTAAATATGAAATAAACAATACAATCTTAAAAGAGAGGAAAGAGCTATTCTATATTATCATTTAATAAAATTTTCTTAAATAATTCATTGCAGAAATTGCCTATATAAGTTTAGAAAAACTAACTAAGCTAATAAAAATATATCGTGAAATAGTGCACCGAACAATTTCTTGGCATTCTATTATTTGGACCATTTCTCGTAGTTGTAATTAAGTCAGAATAGTTTGCCAAAATACAGTACAAAAATCCATCTCTGTTCCCGGACGAAAGGGACAGTAGGTGTTCGGTGCATTGGCAGTCGTTCTTGAGTCTTTCAAGAGGATCGGTCATGAGTGGCGTCGATTACTTTCGCATTCTGGACCGCTGCGGCTAAGTTTAGGTGACCACATCGCACAAGTGCGCGTGCACGACGGAAAACGGTGGTGCCCGTTAGATGTGCGCATAGAAAAACACGAGCGACTAACGTGCGACATAAAATTGACGCTGACCATCTGTCTGCCTATCGTGCCCGAAGATAGCAAATCGCTCGGACTTCAGCCTGGCCAAGACTGTGCAGGCCAGCCGCGTGACCAAGGAGATCTTTCCGCGTACCGGAAAAGACCTGAAAAGACTGCCCATACCGCCGATGTTCCCCAGCACTCGTGCCCGTAGCGAGGTCAAGAAGATTCAACAGGAAGCGATGAGCAATATTAAGCTGCAGGCGTTGAAAGATGTTCAGATGATGACCGAGGTGAATGACGCGCTGAAGCATGTTAAAAGTCTCCGTGGAAAATCTGCGAAAGCAATAGAATTCCATCTGAGGACAGAAGCGCTGAAGAATCTGTCCAAGAGCCAAGAGTTGGCTGATATCCGGAAATTCCAAAAGGAGACCATGCATTCTCTTTGGGACGATACAGCATACAGCAGATTGATGAACGAAAGGGCCAAAACTCTAATCGATGAGGACAAGCTGACGCAGCCACTTGATACGCTCAGCAGGGAGCTGCGCGGATTCGAGCAGAAGTCCAGCAATTATTTTCTAGATAAGAGGTATCAAGATCGTGCGAGACAAGAACTTTTGTATGGTTGTCGAGGATGCGAATATTATAATGTTAAGCGTGGTAAATAGGTGAGAGTTGTGACGCTATGATCGAGTTTTCAATAAAGAAAAGGTACAATAGTTTTAGAAAAGAATAAAAATGCGTGAAATAGAAATAAATTATTTTAATAATTGATATTTGATTTTATGTCTAGAAGAAATTATTTTTCTGAAAATAATTTATTTGAATATCCCCTCATCCTATAACATTATATTCTTTTATTAACAATTAGTATCGACTTTCTAAAACGCAGATTTTGTAAAAGCAACCGAAAATTAAATTCCAGGATGGATAAGGTAAATCGATGGATATCAAAATGATAAGTAGAACTTTAACATTAAATGTTTGAAAATAGTAACCAACAAAATATCATTCTTTAATTCCGGAGAATAGCACTGTGATTTAAATTTCATTGTTTATTGAATAATAATCGAAGAATACTTATCGAAATTCAGATAATAAAAGAAATGATTTGATATGTTTACATCGAATAAAATTAATAGTAAACAGACCAGCATCGAAATTGAGCAGCTGAACGCCCGCGTAGTGGAAGCTGAGACGAAGTTGAAGACCGAAGTTCAGCGTATAAAGAAGAAGCTCCAGATTCAAATCACCGAGCTCGAATTGTCTTTGGACGTCGCCAACAAGAATAATATTGATTTGCAAAAAACCATCAAGAAGCAGTCTCTCACTTTGACCGTAATGTCGACACTTACATCTGCTAGTATGTCTAAAAATAACAACCATCCCACACGTTTAATTATTTTATTTTTCAGGAATTACAAGCTCATTATGACGAAATACAGCGCCAGTTGCAAGTGACCCTGGACCAACTAGGCATTAGTCAACGTCGTCTCCAATCATTGACGGCTGAGCTTGAGGAAGTCCGTGGCAATTATGAATCTGTAAGTACAGCGATTGATTTGAAGTTTTTAACTTGAAAGAGATTGATTACAAAATATATTCGAAAAGTTTAGTTTATCCTCCGGATAAGCGAAGATGCGAATAAATACCACATTACATAAGCGTTACGTAATAGTAATATGAAGCATAAAATTGTATTGAAAGGCCCTGCGCGCGAAGAGGACTGTCGAACAGCAATATGAGGAATCGGTTAGCCGCATCAACGAGCTAACTACAATCAACGTAAACATCGCTTCATTAAAGGCTAAACTGGAGCAAGAACTGGCCACTTTGGCTGGAGATTATGAAGAGGTTACTAAGGAATTGCGAGTTAGTGATGAGAGATATCAAAGAGTACAGAATGAATTCAAACACACCGTTGAAATTCTTCATGAGGAACAAGAGCGTATTGTCAAAATTGAAGCTATCAAGAAATCGCTGGAGATTGAGGTAAAGAATTTGTCCGTGAGATTGGAAGAGGTTGAGGCCAATGCCATTGTTGGAGGCAAGCGCATCATCAGCAAGCTCGAAGCCAGGGTAAGAAAAAAGATAAAACTTTTTTCATTTTAATATTATATCATTCTTTTACTTCAAATGTAAAAAGACAACTAAAAAAATGTAATGTTTTCAGTTATAATGAATGAGTTAAAGGTAAAAATTACTCTGTAAATCATCAAAAGTAAACTTAAATTCACAGTCTATTTGTTAAATAGCACCTGTGTTTTAAGGTTTTCAAAAAGATTATAATATTTTCTATAAAAATGGCATATTTTAAATTGTATTATTTTATAGAAAAAAAAAAAAGAAAAGTATTCTACAAAGAACATTTATAGAATTAATATATGTTTAATGATCAAAGTCTGAAGAAATTACAATATTTTATTTTAAATTAAATTTTTTTTTGCTGATTGAAAAGTAAATATAATAATTAAATATAATAATTTATGATATTTTTGAATTGTCATTCTTAATAAATTATTCCGGATTTGTAATAATTTTTTTGTCAAAATCAATCCTAAAAAAGGTTCTTTAAGAATTGTATGATATTAAAATTAATTTTCTGTAAAGTTGAAAAGTAGTTTTTCTTTTTTTTTCTGAGAAACTTAATTTTTTTAGTTATTATTTTTATTTACAACTAAAAAAATAATTAAATTCTTTTAAATACAGTTTTATATGTATAATTAAATAATATAATGTTCTGTTATCTTTTAGATCTCTTTAACAATGCTTTTTTGGTGTACATAAAATATTCATCAGAGTATTTATTAATATTTAATAAATTTCTTATCTATAATTTTTGCATAGATTCGCGACCTGGAACTCGAGTTGGACGAAGAAAAACGTCGACACGCTGAGACTGTAAAGATACTTCGTAAGAAGGAGCGCAACATCAAGGAGGTAATGATTCAAGTTGAAGAGGACTCGAAGAACATCTCTCTGCTGCAGGAAACGCTTGACAAAGCCTCCCAGAAAGTCAGCATCTACAAGAGACAGCTGCAAGAGCAAGAAGGCATGTCCCAACAAAGCGTCACCAGGGTCCGCCGATTCCAAAGAGAACTCGAGGCCGCGGAGGATCGCGCCGACACGGCAGAGAGCAATTTGAGCCTGATCCGCGCCAAACACCGCAGCTTTGTCACCACTTCAACCGTACCCGGTTCCCAGGTATACCTCGTCCAGGAGACGAGGCAGGATCTGTAAAATAATCACCGTCACCTTACCTTCTGCCACTTCAAACGTCGTCGTCTTTATAAACGTATGTGTAGTATAAAATAATGTGAAATAATTAGATTTTTAAAAATAAATAGTAATTAATCACATAATTAAAGAACAACATTTTTTAAGGCTGCATAATACTAATAAAAGACAAATTATACTTTGTAGTTATTTAAAAAAAAAATAAGAAAATTTAAAGTGGTACTTAATTTTATCAGGCACATTGCATATCCTACGAGGAAAGAAGAAAGGAAAGGACGCGATATCAATCATCATAAAGAGGCCGAGACAGAAAGAGAGAGAGAGAGAGAGAGAGAGAGGAGAGAGTTTTCAACGGGCCGCAAACGTGTTATTTTCGAGGGGTTTAAATTGGAGCAACCAGAATACGCACCTATAAACATATGAATATCGATACGAATATAATGTTCACTGTCACGTAACGACCCGTCGTAAATTCGAAATTACTTGGCCAACGAAAAATGCGATACATTGCAACGAAAACATTACATTAAAGAAACGCGCTCACTATATTTAAGAGATTTATTAAAACATCAGAAATATTGAAATTATAAGAATCAATATATTGTTTAACAAATGGATAAATCAAGTTTAATGATCTTCTCGTCCCAATTATGTGAAGATAATCGAACGTAAGGGCAGAGAAAACACAAAAAATACAAGAAGAAATCAATAGTAATTTACGTCCTTCTATACGCGCGTGTCGCAATTGTATTTACATGGATAATTTTAATTCTATTCTATTACTATATAGATAGGTAACTATTGCCCATATACACAACTCTCACTATACAACATACACAATAACCTGTGTCAACATTAATTTAATAAATAAAGTGAAACACGTACGTACGAAAATGTTTGTGCACTTTATTTTCCATGTTTCTGAAAAATATTATCCTAAAAGCTTTTATAAACTACGATTATTTTATCATCAAAAATTTTATAATCAAAATAATCAATAAAAAATACAACAAAACTTTTTCATTGAATTTAATAAATCTAATATATTCATCATTGAATATATTAAGATTATTGAACACAGCTACATATAATTTATAATGTAGAATATTTTCACGCATTTTTACTTTTAAATATTATTATTTAATTACACATTTCGTTAAAAATGTAGATATTTCATATTTTTGAAATGTAATGCAAAAAATTTGACAGCGATTTAAAATTTGGATCAAAAGTTATTTTGAATTTTGATTATTTGATATCAGAGAATTGAAAAGATCAAAATTCTCTACATATCAACTTTCGTGAAAATCGAGTTAGTATAGTTCCTGAAATACGTATAACAAGAGAAACTATTGTATATAATTGCTCTCCATCTACAAAGAATTAATTGTAATAAAATGTTGCATAAATAATTTTAAACACTTAAAGTATTTATTACAACAAGAAAATTGAAACTTTCATCATAATTTCTTTAAATTTCTGTTAGAACAAATAAAAAATAACAACTATAATAAATAAAAAATAAACTAGGAAAATGTATCATTCAATAAAAATAGAATATTATAAACCCAATTTTCCATGAGTATGCAATTTATTTAAATATTAACATATTTGTGAAAATGAGTGCAATACATCTTTAAAAATTTGATATAATAAAAGGTATTGAAGAAGAAAAAACAAAGAAGTACATTAAAGTAAATTTAATTTATTCGAGCTAATTATTTTTTTCCGGACCACTATGGCGTTTATTAGTAGGATCCGCTTAGAAGCCAGATTTGTGAAGCCCTAAACGTATGAGAATTTTATTTCTAATCGTACATCTTATAAATGATTTTAATTTATTTTATTAATTTGTTGTCCTTGTTAAATCTCATACATTAGGCTTCAATAATCTTGCATTTTCAATCAAAATCAAGAGTTAATAATTAATAACATTAGGTACGTATATCTATTAACAATAGTAAGATCCATCCACACCGCCAGGCACGCTTTATACAGCGGCAGTAATTAATGGTTACGATTTAACATACACGTCACCGGTTTTTATTATATAAATCGTAGAAAACTTGATTCTCTAGTAACAAATGAGCGTCGTAAGAGTCGTAAAGAGTCGTGGAACGCGATTGTTAATTCGTTATTAACGAAAAAATAACAAAACTTTATCGATTTCGATAAAGTCAATTGCTATATTTGTGCCACGAGACAAACGAGATACAGTATTGCAATAATAATTATAAAAAACGGTAACTCATTGGATCGTCAATGTTCTCGCATGTTCGTGGCTTCTATTACCGCATTAAGTAACAGAAACATAACATCAATGTTATATTTTCTATAATTTCACACTCAATAGTATAAATGTAATATAACACATGTTTTACATAATTGTTACATTGTTGAATGCGAATTATAACATTAATGCTATGTTCCTATTATTTTGTTTGTAGATTGTTTTAGTTAAAAAAAATTAAGCATCTCAGTCTTTCGAATATATGTACCAAATCAAGCAGCTCTCTAATAAAATATGCCCATAGAAAGAGTTGTTGCTCTTCATTTTTTTCTTTTATTATAATTATAATTTGCGATTTATGTATTTTACTTTTAATATTTATAGCGCATTATTTAGCGCGCGCAATGTTTGATATTTCACAAACAATTTTTACTCGATATAAATTTTATTCCACAATATATCTCGTTTTGTATAAGCTGAAACTCTCTGATTTATTATTTCTTTATTCCTATTACATTATACAAGCCCGTAACACATTTCGCAAATTTTTTTATTTCGAGATAAATCTTTAACAGCAACAACCTTCTGTGACACTATATTTATCGCAATTTATTTGAGAGTAGATGGAAAAAATAGAGGAGACGCGACATGCCCATTACAAATGTTACAAATAATCAAAGTTAAAATGGTATCATTCATCAACTCACCCATCCGCTGTTACAAAATTACAAGTGCTCATTCTATTCATATATAAGTTGTCAATGAACATTTACACCATTATATACAGAATATTATACAATAAAATGGGAAATACAGAGAATAGAAATTATGATATAGCAATGATGAAACAATGAACTTATCGTCGCTAATAGTGTGACTAATAGATATTTTTTTAACATATATATTTATAAAAAAAAAACAAAAAACTGCGTCTGCAAACAATTTAATTTGGAAGCTTTTATATTCTCTTCTTTATTACGCGTTTCATTTGCCAACCAAAATAAAAAAATTAATTATTTAGTCAACAATAAAACAATGAAAGAAATAAACGTATTTGTCAAATTATTAAAATTATAACAAATTTAGAAATTTATACTCAAGCATTTTTTTCTCTGATTAAGAAATTTGAAAATTCACTAAAACTTTTTTCTCTGATTAAACGAATATTTGAAATTCTGTATAATATTGTACATTCAACACAACTATAAGAGCTGATCTTTTAAAATGTAAATAACTCTGTAAAAGAACAAACAACACAAAAAAGGACAAAACAATAATTAATTACAAACAAAATATCGTAATTATTATTAGAGACTTGTTTAATTATGTAGAGGAAAATAAATAGAATAAAAGCTCTTTGTTCGGAGGTTGCAAAAATGTTGAATATTTGCAGTATATTCTCCAAACCATCCAAATAAATGGAAAATATTTTTGGTCTATAAACCTTTAGCATTTGCTAATTAACTTATTTATATAATATTTATTTAATATAATGTGTAGTATCATATTGATAAAAAAATCGCACTGTTCTGATTAAATCATTACAAAAATCATTTTTTAATTACAAAATTCAAAACAAATTTTTTATACCTTCTTTTTAGCCTAATATAATTTGTAATTGTATAATGTTTTATAAAAAAAAACTTATAAATATATATTTTTGTATGAATATAAAACAGAAAAAAGAATTGCTTGCAATATTTGTGGTATATAATAAATAAATTATTTATAAATTGAATATTAGCAAAATGTGACAAACCATTGACTTGCATTAATATACAATTATTGTGTTTCATAGAAATAAAAAAGTTTGTAAAACTAAACTATGTGCAGTTGCATCACACAGTAGATAAAGTATAATTAGTACAGTTAACGTAATTCACAACAATTTCAAAATTTTCTGATTTTCTTCTGTGAGTGTGACTTTAAAATAAAATATCTCTAAAATATAGATTTATAGTTTTGTGTTTAATAAATCCTTATACATATACATATATTCGATATGATATATTAGAACAATGCGATTTTCTTCGATAACAAGATTTCTTCTTTCCACCGGTAATTGCTATAAACACTGGTATCGCCTAAAGCGTAAAACAAAATAGACGGTAAATCGCCTTTAAAGGTACAAGTTTCTTCCTTCTAGTGGAATCAACGTTGGCATTAAATGCCGCCTGTGCAACGTTCTCTTCTAATTTATTGTTACTCTTTTGTACAAGTGTGTGGGATAGTTCAAACAGTACGGAGCGGAAAAAGAGTGCAGAAGATGAAATATTATTTGGCAGTTAGGTATTTTGTCAAATGTAAGTCAGACTGTTCGATGGTTCAGCGACCCAGTTGTAATTTTGATAATTCAATTGATATTAAGACGAATTCGGGAGTGACATTCATTTATCATCGCCCGGAAATATAGTTGGCAATGGCTATGTGCAGAGGAAGAAAAATATCTTTTTGTTTTAGTACATTCAAATTTTTAATCCATTAAGTTGATATATGTAATTTAAATTAATTTATCAACTCTGTTACATTGAATGTATTCTTTGCTAATTACATGTTAATTACAAAAAATTTATTTAGCTAAGATTGTTCGACAATATTTTCTTAAAGTTTCTTAATGTCTCTCAAATACTTATTTTGCATTCAATTAGTATAATAATGCACAAGAATTTATACCAAAGATATTTTTCCTCGTTTGGGAGCATGTATAACTCATGGAAATATAATGTACATTATTATCCTGTCTTTGTCGTTTTAGTTAATACTCAGTCAGATATTGGCACAGGGAGTTGTACTAGCAGTATGGAAACAGCTATGGGGGAGACATCAGAGTCGAGTTTGCGGTATTATACTAATAGATTTGTAGAACGTTACCGCAAAGCTTCAACGATATACAGATTATATTATTTACGTATGATAAATTAACTTATATTGTAACAGGAATGTATGAAAAATAAAAACGAGTAAAGAAACATAAGGTTGTAGCTTTTTAGCGATAATTTGTTAAAACTTGTATGCAATTGTTGCTTTTCAATTTACCTATATAGCAGAAATATTCCCAAATCTTTATTACTAATTGTAAGTATAAATTAAAGTTTATAATTTATAATGAAGATCAACAGATTAAAAAAAATTTCTAAAGAATAAAAATATTTACTTAAAACTGTATCGGAAGAAAAAAATTTAGAAACTGTAAGAATATCTAAATAGCTCTACGTAAGCTCAGTCTTTTTTCTATATCTTAAATAACAAAAAATAGGAAACAAATAATCATTAAATTAATTAAAATGTGAGTTTTTAAATTAATTCTGTTAACAAAATATAAATAAATGTTAAACATCATTCTCTTATGAAAATAGAATGTGGTTACAATAGCGATAAAAAAAAACAAGTAAAAATTTTTTATACAATAGTTCTTGAAATCTGTCCTAAGAAAAGTATCTAAAAAATTAAATTCAAAACGTTAAAGAATTTATGTTATAATTTTGTAAATCAAAAATAATTTAGAGATTAAATTTTAATAATAAATTATGTAAAAGACATGTTAATATAACTATTTTACTGTATACTTTGTTAATATCAAGATTTCTATTAACTTGAAAGTAAAGGTAAACGTCTTCAACCTTAATTATTTATTATTCACTAATCAATCGTAGATTCAGTCTTTCGGCAAATTGCAATCCGCGTGTAACGTCACTCCAGAATAAATAAATCGTATTCACGATTCATCATTTCGTCTTATTTTGTCTGCCAAATAAAAAATATTTGTCACTTTCTAATGTACAAAATTAATTTTTGGAGACATATTCTGTTTGTCTATATATAATGCATATACTTATTATACATTATTATAATATGCTGATTAGTCTTAATTTGCGTAACGACATATTTACTAATGTATTAAATAATTATGTTTAAAGTCCCCATAAATGTTTTGTCATGAAAATAAACCCAACCGAAGTAGTAAGTTAATAATTTGATTTGGAATAAAATGTTTAATAGCATTTTTAAATTAATAATAATAAAATTTTTATTTAATATTAAAAAGTAAATATTTACGTTGCAAATCTTCCTTGAAAGCAGCCTGATGTTACTTGTCGTCAAAAATATTAAAGTATAAATATTCATTTTTTAATATTATAAATAATTTAATTTAATATTATTTAACTAAAAATGTTAATAAAATTTTTATTTAAATTATTTGTATCGATAAATTTTAATTCCAAGAAAATATAAAAGGATTTTATTGTAATTATTCTTAATTTGCTCCTATTAAAGAAAAATTCTATAAAATTATATCTAATAAAATATATCGTTTAAATTGGATTATGTCTCACAAATTAAGAACTATCAACAGTAATTTAAATATATATTAGATAGAGAATTAATAAATGTAGTGCCATCGTTATGTGAAATTATATGTAACTGGGTCGGAACATTGCGAGCATGTAAAAACGGAAGAGGAAAATTAGAAAGACGTTCGATCAACGTTATCTGTAAAAAATAATATAAAAATATGATTATGTATTCAAAGAATTCTCCGTTATTTTGTCTATAGCATAATAATAATAATAATTGTAACCTCGCAGACTTTTACGTTGACTATTGGATGACGAAGATTCTTATTTTCCTGTTCTCTTGTATTCTATCGCACACTTTGCTCGCTTGCTATCTTTCACTCCAAATAAAGATTTTTTCTCATTTTGTCAAAGAAGTATACACTATACACTACCAATATAATCAACCATTCATTGAAGAAAAGAAGAATCCGTTTACGGATAAATAGAACAGTTTCTCCTGTTCTTCGACGAAAATCGTAATTATGTTTTATGAAGAGACATCCCATACGCATACTCGTCGCATTCTTATCTCGCGGTATATCAAAGTTATATAGTACTTACCTCGAGCACTACGATTGCTTTTTAATCTATCGAAATACAGCGCGTAGATGTAAATTCATCTGAAGACTACATTCGGAGTTTTTAATTGAAAAAAGTTTATAAAACAGCATTCGACAAATAGATGAATTCCTTTAACATCTTAAACGCAACACGATAGAAATTATCCAAAGAGCACTTGGATATAGTTAAGCTAGAAAAAATCAATTTAAAAATACTATTTCGTTACTTAATTTCTCTTAAATATGTATTATTTTTTTATATACATAATCTTATATTATCTTATACTTACTGTTTAAAAAAGAACTACATTTCAACATTAAACTATTTAATATTTCTTTTGGTTCAATCATATTTAGAAAATTTATCTGCGACATTCTCCATTGTTAAAAAGATTACATTATTAAAAATGAACAAACACGTTCAAGAAGTTATCTCAAAAGTTGACAACTATATTTATTAGTATCAATTGATTTCTTCTTGCCTAACTACATCCGTTCTTCTAATATACAATCGATATCCATCTTTGCTGCATTTCGTACTTTTCATTATTCCGCGAAAAAAATACCCGAAAATATAAATCTCCAATGAATTTTTTTATCAAATCTGTTTTTCACTTTTTTCTTTTTCTTGTACCAATCCTAATTCAAGTCATACGTTTTTGCATTCTCACACGTTTCTCATACCCTCTTGCGTTTCTCTTTACGATATACGCGCGCTTTTGAGCTTAGTATCAGCCTCAATTTCAATGTTAACCTTTCTGCATTACAAAGAAAACACATTTCAAAAACCTTGCGTACCCTTACGCTTATTTTCCGTATGATCTCGCAAAAATATTCGTCTTGAGCAAAACATTCGTATGTATCTACTATACTAAGAGTATACGTATAGGGTCGACAAATAAAACCGGACGATGTGCCAAAGTTTTATAACACCTCACACATCGGAGGAAAGGTGAGTATTCTTGTTAACAATACATTTCGTCTGTAAATTTTGTCAGTGAATGCATAAACATCACTAGAGGATTTCTTGACGAGAAGATCCGCCTTATTCAAATTGTTTCTATTGAATACATCAACGTTAATCACTTGGTTGTCCGGTTTTCCTATCTACCCTGTATAATCATTTTTATCAACTCGGCACTTTTTTCAGAAGAGTAAAAATCAAAAAAGATACGTATTCTCTTTGTATAACATAATGTATGACATATAGACTCCCTATATCAAACGTGTAATTCTATAATTGTAATATAATTGTAATTTTTGCACTAAAATAGTAAATTTTCACTGTAGAACTTTGGAAATGAAATTAAAAAATGTTATCCTGTTGTTTCTTCGCTTATAATTTTCCGCCATCAAAGTCGGAACTGAATTGATACGTTTAAATCTTGCACGACATCCTGATTACTTCCGGCTATTCGATATACTTTGCGCGAGCATAGTGATCGTTTCATTGAGGTAACTTGTTTATAAGGTCACCTAAACAATAGATAGTTCGGTTAATCGACTCAATTATTCCAAGATAACAGGAATATATATATATGTAATATATAATTATATATGTGTGTACATGCGAGAACTGTTACTCATTAGTATTAATCAATAAATGTTGCTACATAATAAATTTGTATACTTCATTATCTTAGTATTATCGTAATAAATATGCAGCGGTTTGTATTCTTTTTTATGTGTTAGTATCCGCATGTGTCAAAGTAGGTGGCGCGTAATTGAGCGATCGTTCGATTAACCGAACACGTATTGTGATTGCCTGTTGACCCATTCTACAGAGTGACCGATCATCAGGCCGCGATATATCGGGACTGAAATAATATTTCTTCCTATATCTCACACGCTATCCATCATTCAAAATAATCAACACGTGTAAAAATCCATTCTATTTTCTATCTCTTACAATTCTGCGATACCAATCCTATTCATACTGTATTTTACTCGGTCGAGGCCATCAATCTCGCATAAGAAAGAATCTCATAATTCCATCTAATCTGTTCCAGATTCTTCTCGACTACGCGAAATATTTCTTCATCCTGCCGGAAGCTCTATCGCATCAAATTTCAAAATAGCAACATTCACATATATGATCCAATCGACTTTTGTCGCTTTTTTGTTGAAGAGCTCGGCAACAGCTTAATCTATTTCAGGTCGTCTATAGCGCCATAATTAGCGAGCGATTTCTTGATCCTGAGTGCGGTTAGCCTGGCGGCGGCATTGTGATACCAACATTCCTTCATTACTTTCGACATTACTTGCAGAGCCTGTATATAAATAATAAATAGTTATAATTAATTATCAATTTAACTTAAGTAATATTTTTCAAAAAAGTAATTTTATATTCACAGTAAGAACAGTTTTGTTAAAATATTTAAAAATTTAACTAGATGCAAATTTTATATTAACTAGATACAATATTTAAAAATAATTTTGTTAGCCCAAGTAAAACAACAAGTCATGATCATGTCAAAATGACATTAAGATGAATCGGAAGTTATTAAAAAATGATTTTTAATAATCATTTTGGAATCATTTTAATATCATAATAACTTATTGTCCTGCTTGCGAGGTCATCAGAATAATTATGTAAGACACTCAGGCCCGATTTTTCATTATCTGGTTAACTTGTGGTTAAGCTTAACCTGATGTTTTATCCAATGGGCTTCATCTATGGTGATGTCATAGATAAAGCTCATTGGATGAAACATCAGGTTAAGCTTAACCACAAGTTAACCAGATAATGAAAAATCGGGCCTCAAACTGATTGCTAGAACGTCGAAACTTTTTACATCGTTGCCTATGATCATGCTTGAATTTTCTACATAATTACTTTAATAGTCTAACAAAATTATTTTCATATTTGTATCTACTTAAATTTTAAGATATTTCAAAAAAATCATTCTTTTCGAATAAACTCCCTTATTATAGTTTTAGTAAAATGTAACTTTAGCTAAAATAATTTAGGTTTCCAAATAATAAATATGATTATTTTTAATTCAAATTTTATCTGCCAATCACTGCTATGATTTTATTGCATTTTATAATTATTCAATTATTATATCTCATTTCGCTAAATTTTCAAGTCATATGAATGTTAATAAACGAATACAAGCATTAGAACAAAATAATTTTTTTAGTTAAAGGGTCTATATATAGTTATATTTTTGTTTACCTATAATTTATTTTTTTGAACAATTGTTCTAAGTAAAATTGATAATTTTAACTATACTTTTTTGCTTTAACACTCACTTCGATCGACTGCCATCGATTCGGTATCGACGGCCGCTGTCGATCAGTGCACACGACTTTCCGCATTTCCTCGATAGTTGGATCGGAAGGCACCAAGTCGTAAAAGGGCAACTGATACTCGTCGTGAATTCCGCCGACATTACAACGTCTAGCGATCTCCCAGAGGATCAGACCGAGTGCGTATACATCGGCCCTCTTGAACGAGTCAAAGTGGTTCATGTTTATCGTCTCTTCAAGAACCTGAAAGCAGAAAACGTTAGCATGAATTACCGAAGAACCGTCTTCCTGACTAAGTGCAAACCATCGCGAATTATCTTCCATATTTTTATTGTTTGATAACAGTGTCCAACAAATTTAAACTTTTTTCAGACGCATTCATTTCGCCTGCGAAATATTTTGTTTTACAATAAACGAAATTGTTTGGTTCGTAGAGCCCTTCAAATTTATTTTGAATTTCATTCTTTTTGAGTCATTTTATGTTACTTTTTAATATTAATTAATATAATTATATTTCTAGTTTTATTTTTCTTAAGAATAGAGAGTATATACTTCTGCTTTTTACACTTCGAATCAGAGGAACCTTCTTTCACATGGCAATATAATTACCTCAGGCGCCATGTATCTCTTTGTGCCGACTCTATTGTTGAGCTGAATGTCGACGGTATCCGTGATTACGTCGTGCCTGGCGGCCAATCCGAGGTCGCCTATGGCGCAGGTACCATTAGTCTTCACGAGGATATTTTTTGACTTCAGGTCCCGATGAGCAATGGCCGGCTTGCCTTGCGTGCCGACTATTTCCATATGAAGATGCGCCAAGCCAGTGGCGATCGACAAGGCCATCCTTATCATACCGTTCGTGTCGACGGTCGATCTGTTGAGGTAATCGAAGAGCGAACCCTTTTCGTGATAATCCGTTATCAGCCATAGCTGTGTCCACGTGCCATTATCTAAAGAGGAACAAAATGACCCGTCATTCCATCAATTCACAATTTATTCAGAAGACATAATTCAATCACAGTAGCTCTCAAGTAATGTGCAAGATGATGAAATATGTAATGAAAATCGATAAAAGGAATCTTTGAATGTTTTATATCATCTAAAGAGATCGTCTGTGCGCTCGAAACATCTCCAGAAATAAATTTGTTTGATAAATTGGACTAACCGAATTTAATTCATTAATATATAAAATGTATTTTAATAATAACAAATTAGCAGGTTAATTTAATTTTAAATTATATTTTTTATTTTAAAATTTTTGAAACAGAAGAGAGAGAGAGAGAGGTTACAATGATTCGTATTAAAATTCTCTTTCAAATTAAAAAAGAGACGTAATAAATACTTTGAAAATTGCCGAAAGTAGATACATTGAGGAATAAGTACTAAACTATTTGTTAGGTACGAGTTTCGATTTCACTGGAATTTTAGATTATAAGTATCTACGAATATAAAGAAATTCACACCTTTGTTATCGGCAGCGATAAAACCTAGGATATTGTCATGCCTCAACATCACTGTCTGATAAATTTCGGCTTCTCGGAACCAGGATCTCTCCTCTCGCGAGCTGAAGATCTTTACAGCAACATTTTCGCCGCGCCAACGACCGCGCCAGACCTCACCGAAGCGGCCTTTTCCGATCGTTTCCACCAGCTGAATCTGGCGCGCTATACTCCGTTGTACCAGAAGTGGCAGGCCTACTTGAGAGAGGATGGGCATTGGAGAACGTAAATTTCAGTATCATTAAAGATGACTCACGCTTCGCGTATTCGTATATTATGACCAAAAGATAAATGGATTAACGTGTGTATAAATACATAACTTTATAAAAGAATCTCTATTAGTAAAAAAATCTGAGCTATAGATTAATTTAGCAATTTAAATTCAACGAGCTAATTAAATTTGGATGTAATGATTTATCCGTATTTTTACACACGTTAGTATATCGTATACATACAAAGACTTTAATCATTTTTTTTAGATCACATGAAATAAAATAGACTAGTATAATTAATTAATTAAAGAAACTAATAATATTTTATAAAATATTTACTACGCATTTACTAAAAAACTGTAAAATAAAAATTTTCTGTGTGAAATCTGTATAATTTTTAATAATATAACGTAAATTTTTAATTGTTATTATTATCTACGTCTTAAATTTGCTAATAAATATGTATCCGTAATAACTGTATAATAAAGAATAACTAACGTTTGCCTTTTATCTTATCGTTCTATACTGGTTATAAATGATAAACTTTAATTTAATTTGACCTACCTGAGCCGCTACCACTCGTAGTCATCTCTAACATGTCCCTGATAGTGACGCCACCCAGAATTGGTCGGTCCGGAGCCTCCATCGAGTCATCCGGAAAGTGCCTAGCCGGCCTCTTTTTGGTCATGTGTATGTGATAGATTGCCATTACGACCACGCAGATTGCGCATATTGGTAGTGCTATCGTCAAAGCCATTTTCCAGGTAACCCATGTTGCGTCATCACCACTTGACGATACTTTCGGTCAAGATATATACAGTTATTATTTGCACGTAGGAAGCACTGAATAAACGCTAATTCAATCTTGATGACGCCGTATTGTACACATTATTATACTGAAGGTATGATATACCAATATCAGAGATATTCAACTTGTAACGTATATTCCTAAATGAGTAAATTATGTATTCTCTCAAGATTTACAAATTATATGAATGTAAAAAGATCTTGTATGTTTTCACGCGTTACTTATTTTTGCTGACATTTAGTAACATTATTTGTTTAGGTAATATAAGTAAAATTGTTTCATAATTTCTAACAAATTATTTTAAAAATTTACACTCCTTGCACACAACATATGACATCGTATGAACATTCATGATATCTAAACGACTATTGTACAGATATCATGTTCATGCGACGTTTCTTGTTTAAATATAGATTCATATTTATATAAAAATAATGTTGAATATATCTCTGATATTAGAAACAAAAAATTTCGTGAGAGTATATGAATTCATTAAAATCACTATTATGCATTGTTGATTCAAAAGCAAGCAAATGCGAGCAGAAATTTTCGAAGAAAAAAAACTATGAAATGTAAGCGTTAAAAAAGCAAAAAGCGGTACGAAAAACATGTACGGAAGACATACATATATATAACAAAATGCGAAGATGTATAATACAAAATGTTAATAAAATATATCTAAAGTAAAGCGATCTCTATGCTAATAGCAATTAAACAAACATATTCAAAACAAATTTAGTGCAACATGAACAGGATTTCAGTCTGATCGTTTTAGTGATCAATAGCTTGATTCATGGCTAAAAACCTTTAAAAACTCACAGGATAGAAAGATGTTCTAAATCTCTTCGAACATACAACTGTGCCTCGATAATTTGCTATTATCTTGATCTTCATTATCTTCAGTTACCTTGTATATCTTAATTGTTAATTTCAAATTTTAGATTTTAATACTAGGACTACTACACTAGTTTAAATAAGTCGTATATATAAATCAAGTAAAATTTGTCTTATGTTATTTACTTTTATAATTTTTTGACAGATATTAATGAAATAAACTCAATAAAACAGTCATTTGTCGTGTAGTTTTTATTCTTATATATCTAGATAATGTTTCTTCTACTGAATCCATAATCATAAAATGTTCTAGTATTAAATCCGAGGTAATCCTTTATCCTATGTGATATGAACACATAGAACAAAGATAAATATTTCTATTATATCTTATCAAGACATCAGTAGCACGTTAAACACAAAATTTAACTTACCTGCGAATAATGGAATTGAAGAGCATTAAAGTATATTCTTTCAAATCACACAAATGCTATTAAACAATTTACCGAAATTCATTATACAAATATAAGTGAAAATGGTATTAAGCGATGTCTGAAGCAGCCAATTAAATCGTTATAAAATGTTCAGCAAAACTATTCATTCAAAGATCATTTGTTTATCTTAGATTACGTTTCATAATTCGCAATTTTATGTTTACAATAAAATGGATTACTGTAACAATGCAAAAAAGATTTTAATATTTACGATAAAATATATTTAAAAAATATTATAAACAAAAATGTAACACATATAGATTATTTTAGTATCTATATTTAGATTCTACACTTATGCATGTATTAGATACTTTTAAAGTTAATATTTAAATATAAAAATGTTTTTGATGTAATGTATATCAAAGAATTGCGAAGCTTTTAAGTAAATTTTTACTGAAAGTCTACAATTCTGAATAATAAATTAGATAACTAAATCCTACTGATTAATAATTTTTTTTAAAATTATTACAAATTGATTTTTCCTGAATTAAAATTATAATAGACGTATCGATATTATTCTCCAGATGTAAAAGCTTTGTAAATCAAAGTTTTGAGAGATAAAATTGGATTTTCGTAGATATGTAAAACAAACTATACAACTCATCGCGGAATCAAACAATCGCGAAATTCAATTGACAGGGTTATCGCGATGTATGTATAGGTAGATAGGACGAATCGCGATATAATTGAATATTGATCCCTGTGAAGATTTCAGTGAGATGACAGGCAATATGGCGAGAAACGATTCACTGATGAATGATCGCATAGCAACGATGAGTTTTTTGATAATAATGAGAGATAATACGAGAATATGCATTTTGCCAATATTAATAAAAATATTGTTCGTAAAAATATTGTACGTCATTTAAATAATGATCAATGTTTATAAGCTTCTGTTTCGTCACATAATGTTTTTGTTTATAATCGACAGAAAGAAATGTATGTTATTACAATACTGATATTTTCAATATTGCAGAGAAATACTAGACATTTTAAAATTTCTAAATATTTTTTCTTTATTACAGTATCAATTTTTAATATAAAACGTGTGTAATGTATTCTTTCTTTTTAATATAGATATAATTTCATGTAAGTACTTTATTTAAAAACGGTATATAATAATATAGTTATTATTATACAAATTAAACATTATAATAATATATTTTAATTTAAAAAAAATGTAAAAGTTTTAAATAACAATGAAATAAAATAAAAATACTATTATTAAATTTTTTTACTATAAATATTATTTATTTCTCTCATCAGTATATAAGTAAACTTTAAAAATTGTCAAATTTAATATAAATTTATTATTGTTCCACACACACTCCTCTTTCGCAATATTGGTTATTTAAAAATACATAAAATATGAAAAACTAGAACATTTATTATCCAACGGGAACACTACACTCTTTATTTAAATTTAATAAATTTCTGTTAACTTATTTTTATGGAAAAACAAATACTTTTTAGTAAAATAGAACCAAAAATGTTAAATATAACAGAATTATACAGAATTAATAATGATATACGTTTCAATATTGATGACGTTATAACTAATGGTTCAATACGAAAATATTTTCAATATGCTACTATAGTACATTCTCATTGGAACTGATTAAACTGCCACTTGAATATCAAATTCTATAAACGAACCCACGCATTTCCAGCTAATATCAAATCGCTTCTGCTAGGATATCCGCCGATAACTGGCTATCCTCGCGATTTATTGGAGCACGTACAATCGAATATCGCTTTCAGCCTGTCCCGTCATCCCTTTGTCCAAATCGTGTTGTTCACGCCCCGTTACTTTATATTCCCGGTGAAGCTATTCCGTTCGCGCTTGGCAAATTACACCTTCACTGTCAATGATCACTTACATTCGCGATTGAATCCACTGACACGTTTAGATACGCATCAATAACATATATTTTCTACATAGTTCTAGTAATAATAATTAAATAATAATAATAAAATCAGAAATACAATACAAATAAATAAATGAATGAATAATCCTGTTAATGATTATTCAAAAATTTTATTGCTAAATACCTAAATAAATTTATTGTATTGCTCTTTATATAAAAACATGATTTAACATAAAAACATACGTTTGAATTCGCTGACCTTTAAATTTACTGAGATAAGATAGAGAGAATACAGGTCTAGATTATAACATAACACATCAAACAGCAATTTCAGCAGTCTCAGCTAAAATTACTTATTTGTTGTAATATCTCACTGAGTTATCTTTTGTTACAAAGTATTGTAATCATATGTACAATGTGTAATTTATAATGATTCTATAATTCTTTTTATAATCGACCACCAATTAATTATTTTAAAAAGTAACAAATACTTTTCATTTGATTTAATTTTATTAACGTTATGTAAAATATTTCAATATAATCAATTAAACACAATCTTTCTTAAAATAGTAAATTTGGTTCCTTAATCTATAATTGAAACAATTTCAATCAATTGAATTATGATAGAAACACTATATCGGATTAATTAATAATCTAAATCTTTAAATGTTATCTATAGTAGAAAGATAGAGAAATATTACAAAGTTTCATTTCCGTACAATATTATTTCATGAAATTTTCATTGAAACTAATTGTTATTAATAAATATGTTAAACTTATTTATTCTAAAAAACAACTATATTTCCATTATTTCTACAATTTATTTAAAAGATTTAAATAAATCTTTTAAATGAAATCTATATATTACATATACATATAATTACATAATGTATTATTTAAATATATGATTTAAAATGACTTGATAAAAATTACAAGAATATTTAAAAAAATACCGGAAAAATATTTTAGAGTTAATATACTTTCATTTATATGTGAAATGGTAGACTGTGCGGAATGTCCTCGAATTTTTTATCAAATTTTTTGCGAGTTGCAAAATTTACACGTGTATATACATATAGACACACTAGTATTATCTTATCTATACGTAATGTACACAGAACATACGTTATCTATATCCCCTCTTTATTATGAACAGGAGATATAGGAACAGAAAATGGCAATACATACCTATATATGAGTGCACAATTTAATAACATTGACAAAATATATTTGAAATCTATTTATTAGAAAATAATTTTTTAAAATTCACTTTTGCAAATGTAAATAAATAATAAAACGTTTAATTTAAAAAAAATAAATCTAAATTATTATAATAATTAAAATTAAATAATTAAGTTTAATTCTAAATTGTTATTTGACAGTTATTTCTTTTTAACATTAGAATGTTAACAGTTTTAAGCAATAAAGTTAATTAAGTACTAAATTTAAAAAACTATAATACGTTATACATGCTTATATAATCTTCTCAAACACTCTGTAAAGATAATTACGAATTACGTGATTTATATCTCACATTATGTAACGAAACAGCAACGCCATTCTGTAGTAATAACAAAATATCGTTTTTTATTTAATAAAAAAATCCATAAATAAAAAACCACAACGAACGCGATCAGAATAGAGAGAACTGTTGGTCGATGGCAGCCATTCTGTCCATTCCTTGTCTTGTCAGCTTGGCACAAGCAAGATAAATGACGCGAGAACATGAAACATGGGGGAATACAGAGGAGAGAATGGTGTGAAAAGTGCGCGCCCAGACAATTCACAAAAGCGTAGAAAATCGATAATCGATACCCCGCTTTTCTCACTGTCGCACGCATGCCTTACCAAGGTTGCCATTGGAAAAGTTCTTTCCCGTTAATTCATTCGCAAAACGAAAAGCTGAAGCGCCGTGAAACAATGACAAATTTACATATATGGCAAAAAATATATATTTTTTTAATTAAATTAAGAAATTATAAAAGCAGAAATTAGAAAAAAAATTGTAAAAGCAGTAAAAGAACAAAATATGTATAATTAATAACTTTGTCTTATAATGATGCATATACAAAAAATATATATAAAGAACAACAATGGAATTGAACAACATACTTGAATCTCTAGAATATATAAATCTGCCATTGCTTTTAAGTGCTATTGACATTAAAGCTTCAAAAACTTTCGCAAATTGCATTTGTCAGAATTCAATGGCTTAGTTAAATTTGTACCTCTTTTCTCACTTTTCAAACTTCGTTACATCATTGAGCATGAATTAAGAGTTTTAATTGCGTAAGTCATTATATAAGTTATTATATACATTGATGCAACAATGTGCTTAAAAGTACAAAATCGTCATAAAAAAGATAATTTAACAGATGACAGTTATCAATTATTTGATTGTTAACTTGTTGACTCAATCAGTCAATTGTAGAATCATTTGACATCTCAGAATGTCGAAACAATTTCTATATGATTTTAAAAATATTATTTATAGCTTTTTAAACTTTTAGAATTCAACCAATAAATTATTTACTCAATTTTGCTAAGTTATCAGACGTAATTACACGTAACGGCTGCTGTTAATTATCTGTGTAAATCATCTTGTTGCAACTCAATGATTACAAAGGCAAAACCTATCGCTTGCATCATATCACGGACGGTTGATCCATTCAGGACGGACAAGGCAGGAAATGCATTCGACCATAAATTGCTTTGTCTCGATAAGCATTATAGATATTACAAAATAAACGATGCAAATTATTTAAAAAATTTAATAGTGTTAATAATTTTATAAACATAAAAATTTAAGACACACAATAAAAACTTTACAAATTAATATAAGAATAAATCATTAATTTATTAGTAAAAAAGTAAAGCAAAAATATTTAAAAATGTTAATGCAAGATATTTAACAGTTAAATAAAAAATATTATTGATACTACTTTTATTAATAATAAAATATTCATAAATGTGTATGTGTGTGTATGTTTAAACAAATTTAATGATAATAAAAAAAAATCTTTAACAGTGAATAACAATTAATATAGTAATATAATATCTTCTATTACGTTTGATTACATTCTCCTAAATAGGCATAAATTAAAAAAATTATATTTAAATGTTCTCATAAAAAATTTAAAAGTTTATAAATTATAAAATTGTAAAGTTTTGATAATAAATCTATCATAACATAATATAGATTTCGTCTGAAGTAAGGTCTCAGAAAATAAATATAATTACGCTATATTATATTACGTGTTAAATATATATTACTTACTATATATTAAGTATTTACCTTGTGTTAATACGATTGATCTAGTAATCTCTAACAGAACATATCATATTTTAGCATTTTTACTACATAAGAAAATATTTTTCAGTAAGCTTCAATTATAATACAAAATTATATTACACATAAACTTATATAACAACCTTATTAATAAACATATTCTAACTTTCTGTAGTTATTTTACAAATAATTTTTAACACGTATTATTTTAATAAACAAATTATTACAAAGTTTTTATTCGAATCATAGAATGTTTAAAATTTACTTTCAATTTTTATTTAAAGAATTTTTTCTGGTCCAGATGAATATTCAGCATTTCCGCCATTGAATCCTTCGACTTTAACGATCATTTCGTTTTTGCGAGTATCTTATTTAGCGGAGAAATGAACTTTGCAGCAAGAGCAACCTTGAAGGCAAAAAATCTCGCGGCAGCCGCTTTAGCTGCAATTTATTGTACCTCCTCCGAGGTGGTTCGCAAAGTGAGAATACGACCGACCTCTGGACTCGTAAGTAGGAAAAGAAGGCCTTAGATCGCGATTGCAGTAGTCAGAATGATCGCAACAAGCCATCACGAATTCGTTGCCATCTGGACCGCGCAGCGTACTGTTTGTGATGCACCAGACAGAGTACTCAGTATCCGGAAAGAAGTTCATCTTATTGTAACACCTGGGAAAATAATTTACATAACGAGTACTGCCGCGGACCAGACTATGGCGTTCATGTCGCCGAAAAGTGGAAACAATCCACAGCTGCCGTAAACTGTAAAATGATATGTTTGTGGAGATAGCGGATAAATCAGCGGATATATCAGCGAATCCCTGGAATAGAAATTTCAAATTTTGGTAGGACAATATCCAATTGAGATAAAGGGAAGTAAAGGAATGCTAATGGCAGCATTTTAATTGGCTCAATATGCTACGACGCAGAGTTTAATAAGCTGCAGAAAAATAATTAGCATACATCAGACTTGATTGCATTAGACTTTTAATTGTGATTAATCGATTTCCTTTTCCGTTTATATTAGCTATAAAAACGTAATGTAGAGACATAACATAACTCAAAATTTATAGATATAGTTTGCAACGAGAAGAATAATAATTAATCAAAGAATTAACTAACCAAAGCAGTCAATGCAATTAAATCTTTAAAAAAATCTATATAAATCTAAAAATAAGAAAAAATTGTAAAAGTATTATAGAAAAAACAAAAAGCAATCGTAAATTTAAAAAGTTTTATATTTCAATAATAATTAAGTATATTTTAATAAAAATTAAATATATTCAATAAAAAATTGAAAAACATCACATTCTTAGAAACACCACATTTTTCAGTTGCATACATATGTGTAAGCTAATATGAGAATATACATATATACAGTATTTTATAACTTTTGTATCAAAGTTTCATACATGGATATTATCTAATAAATTTGAAAATTATTTTCAGTCTCTGATGAGATTAATTAGAGATTCTTTCCTTTTAGAATTCATTAATTTGTAGACATTCTGATAATACATCTTAAATTACATTTTTATCTTAATAAAATAAATTTAAAATAAACTAAAGTTTTGAAAAATAACAAAACTTTACATTTCAGTTTATTTTAAATTTCATTTAATATTACATAAATAATAGAAAATTTTTGTAAATTTTAATTTTTTAAGGAAATTAATTTTATTGAATAATTTTGTTTAAAAAGAAAGATACAAAGAATAATAAACAAAATAAAATTTGTTAAAAAATTTTTAAGCTAATACAATTTTTACAATACAATTGTATTACTTAAAATTCGTAAAAACGTTGATTATATCTTATTTATTATATACTTTACAGAAAATAAAAAGGAAAAAATATCATCTACGTACCTCTCAATTTTACAAAAGTATTCAATAGTATACAAAGACAATAAATGTAATACATAAAGTCAGAAGGCATGCAAAAAAGAAAGTATAGTATTTCAATCATATACCATGTAGAGAATACGAGCTTATAATTATATCAAAGTCTTCACTTTATTTAGTAAGTGAACTTGTAAATAGCTGTTTTTATGATATTGTGTGATCTACTTATGTTCTACTTTAACCCTCACAATCTTAAGAAAATTTCTTAAATAATATTGCAAAAGTTAAAAAACTTGATATGAGCTGCAAAAGGTACATTATAATAATAAAATATATGTATACTTTAAAATAACTTAAAAACAAATCTACGAGTAAGAGAATAAAATAATAAGTCTAATCACACATATAATGTCCTTTTGTAGAAAAATTGAATTTCTCATGTCAACTTTTTAAATATTTCTTGATATAATAATAGATCAAGTCATTTTTTTTTAAATGTGTATAATACATTTTTGTTATAATTAATAAAGAAAACTGCAAATCTTGCAGAAAATCTGAAGGTTACTACGGGAGGCGGGAAAGATATTTACAAAAGCCACCCTTTCTCAAGTGGGTTACGCTATCAAAGTTACTATAGGACGACAGCACTGTCGTTAAAGAGTGCAGAGAAGACAGCTATGACAACATGCTACCGGTCCTTTCCGAGTTCACTCAGGAGAATTTCCGGCATACAAAAAAAGTGTACAGGAGAAAATCACCTTGAAGCGACTACAAGCTCCGAAGGTGGCAAACATATCGATAGAATATGTCACAATAGCATATATTACCATATCTTATCCAAATTTATTATCTTGTTCGTTATCTCATTTTTTCTTAGAGAGAGAGAGAGAGAGAGAGAGAGAGAGAGAGAGAGAGAGAGAGAGAGAGAGAGAAAGAGAGAGAGAGAGATGTTATTTATTTTATATTGATTTCAACATGAATTTAATTTCGAGATCTTTTTAGATGTCATTTTCCAGTTTATGTGCACCAAATGTAAATATAATGTAAATGTGATGTAAATAATATATGTGTGTGTGTTGCTTAGAAAAATAAAAAAACTAAAGAAGTAATAGAAAGTGATAAAATGTTGAACGATTATTGATCACGCTTTTTGAACAACTTTTTACTGCGTAAAGCGAGATACAACGTAGTGTTCGTTTTAATGAAAATAATTTTATACGTATTTATACGCAATACGATAAAAATACGAAGAGAAATAATCTAAAACACACATACGTAACAAAAACGCATGATAATAACATACGTTAATTAAATATTATTAATATTGATAATATACTAATGTACTATTTTTTGTAGCTTACTTTTTGACATTTATTTAATTAAACATTTAATAAAGATAAAAATTTAAACATTTAATTCTTTTATAGTAACAATCCAACAATGGAACTTTACAATATTTCATTGTAGTTCGAAAATCGCAATATAAAAAAGTTCAGCGTTTTATGCTATGTTGGACGTAACAAACGACAAAAGAGAATGGCGCAAAGCTCATCCATGAATACGCAAATAGTGCGTTATATATACGCGTCTACGTCTACTAGCGCGTGTATAGCAGAGTTTCAGAAGCTTTCTATTCTTTATACAATATATATAGTGCACATGACTTTGTACGGATATAGAAAACTATACAATGTGCCAAAATCATCGGTCGATATTTCAGGAGATAAATTCTTGAATTGACTTTATGTGAAGTAATTCTTCATTTCTAACCTCGTTTCTAACATAAAGATACAAATATTTTTAATTTATAAATAATTTAAAATTAAAAAAGTTAAAAAATTAAGATCCGCACAAACAATAAATACATGACTCATTTTTATCAAAAATTAAAATGGCTCATTTAAAGGTCTCAGTTAAAAGATAATTTAATATTAAAAATGTATAAAATGATATTATTTGAGCTTTCATCAGAAAAAAATGGCAGATTAAAATTATATACTCCTAAAATATCATCAAATAATTTTTAGACACATTTCGTATAAAAATACATAGATAACGGTGGCGGGAACGCGGCAGACAGCGTATCAGAAAAAATCCGAAACGATAATGCTCGAGCAAAACAAAGATATATACATTGGCAGGGATCGTGATGTAATACTCTATTCCGACCATAGAAAAATAACTCATGGCTTCACTAATTCTCCGTTAAGCTATATAAAAACGTTCTAACCGTTACTTGAACCATTTCTACTTTATCAAACAACAGAAGTTGCTTCATATTGCACATAATTTATTGCAATATTATTATCTCTTTTTTATTTTGTAAAATGTTTTAAATTAAATTTTTATTGTAATAAAAATTCTTAAATTTGTTTGTTAAAAATTTAGCAGATTTAACTTATTTATGAAGAAAAAATAGAATGTAAAATAGCTATACTGAAAATAGATTAATATAATAATATTGTTTCTTTTGATTGCAAACATTCCTACAAATAATTAAATTAGATACGTATATTTTATTATGAATATAATACCATATTATATATTATTTGAAATATTGTATATCTTAAACTTGCGATTAAGCGAGTACTGGGTACTTTTATGCGAAATATACGTCCACAAAATTAAAAAACTTTATTGAATATAATTATTTATTTTATTTAAAGTAGCAACAAAAAGAACACAAAAATTTAATTATAATCATTCATCAGTAATATATGGTATAAGTCAATATAATGAAGTTAATTGAAGGTCAACTTATATGAACACACAAAAGTTTAACTATTTCGGAAGTTACTGCGAATAGAGCTGCCCCTTTAACGCTTTAAGTAAATAGTTGCGTGGGATAGGTCAAACTAGCTTCTAACTTGGAAACAGTTTCTTTGCCATATACACAATTGGGTGTTTCGCTTTCACTCGATCTTGTTAATCTTGGTTTAAACATTTTTAGAAATTTTTCCATATATAATATATACTATATCTACATATTACATCATGAATATCAAGTTTATAAATAATCAGGGAATGGAAGTAACTCGTTACTTGTAACGAAGTTACAGTTACAAGTTACTTTTTTGGTAACTTTACTGGTAACTGCGTTACTTTCTTTTTTTGGTAACTGTAACGGTAACGAGTTACATTTTTTGGGTAACGGTAACGAAATTTACAGTTACTTTTGTCGTTACTTTGCACACGATTGAACACGGTTCGATTGGATACATGCTATTTACAGCGCTTATCAATAAGACTTGAAAGCCCTTAGACATTCGGCCGTATGATTCAGTAATTATTTTACACTTCTATCTTCTATGTAATACATAGGACATACAAATATTTCAGTTTGCTGCATATTTTACAGGTTTTAGAATTACAAAATTGTGTTTAAAAAAAATTAAAAAATAAATTAAATAATAGTAAAATGAGAATGGCTACGAACCCAAAAGCGAAACAGTTTAAAAGACGATGACAATAAGTGTGGAAACGTCGTTTGTTTTTATCTTGTTTTATCCATGTTGTTGTTCTAATATATATTTATACATTTAATTACATTGTCATCGTCGTTCTTATCGGAAATAAACTGTTTCATTTTTGGCTCGTAACCCTTCTCATTTTACTTTTATTTAATTTATTATTTGAGCCATTCTACATTGTTTTTTTTTTTTTAATAAAACTATATATATATTTGTCAGTATTACATATAAAAAAAAATGCAAAAGTACATTTTTAAATTAATTTTAAAAAAGTAACGGAAAAGTAACGAAAAGTTATTTTTCAAGTAACGGTAACTGTAACGAGTTACTTTTAAAAAGCGATAACTGTAACTGT